TATCAGATGTCTCTGAAGAGTCCATGGGCATGGCAACCAATGATTCATTACATCAGGATGGAAAGTTTCATGCAGAGATATAAAGTAGGAAAGGTAGGAATGGAGGTCTTGAAGGATCATAAGAAATTGATGAAAGCGCTAAAGGAGAGAAACAAAATGGCACCAATGAGAAACCTCTTGGAAGAACAAGCGAAGCAGGTGCAGGGAGTTGTGGCAAGTAAACAACTGGGAGGGGAACATGATGACCTAGCATGCATGATTGTGAGAAATATCTTGCCAGTGAGAGCTGCAACACAGATGGGGCTTGATGAGCTCATCTAGATGCTGAAGGGAGTGGTGCGGGGAAGATGAAATGGTGCGACGTGTTCTGGGAGAGTACGCATGCAAAGGGGGTGTTGGAAAAGGTCCACTGCTTTCTAAGCATCACCAAAATAAACCCATTGTTAGCTCAGGAGATGGCAGTATATTAAGGGTGGTCAAAATACAGCATTCAGGCCAGATCCAGTCCACCAAGAGATTCTATCTAGCCCACGGCAGGTCCCCCAGCTCCACCCAGCCCAAGCATAGGGGGTAGCCCAGGCCATGAGTCATGCAGCTCATCCCACCACCCCTGGGCACAGTGGGGTGGTGCAGTGGCTGGCCCCAGCTTTCTGGCAGCCCCTGTTGCAGTGGATCTTTCTGCCTGGCTGCCGCTGCCAGTGTCTCCACTACCACTGCCAGACCCAGTCATGCTGCCCAGGCACCATAGCCCATCGCAAATAATTGCCCGCCCCTGTATTATATGGACTCATACCAAAGGGACTGAAGGAAATTTATTAAGGACTTTATTAGCATGCTTAAAACTAATTTATGGAAAACTCCATTTGAAGGGCTGGCTTTCACTGAAAGGAAGTGCCTGAACCTGGGGCTACATTAACTGAAATTGTACATTGATTGGGACAAGTAAGAGATCTGAGAAGAAGCAGCAAAGAAGAAATGCAGGAAAAAGGACTGGACATGCTGGTTTCACTAAACCAACAGAAAGGACTGGTGGGAGGGATGGAGAGTTTCAGGTGGTTGCTGAGCTAATAGTTTTTCATAGGTTTCTACATGAAAATAAGTTCTGTAACTCTTTGGTGGGAAGCTGATGTATGTTATTTAAGGGTTTAATATATGTAGCTGTATGTTTCTGGATATGTAGTTGTTTTTGCAATATGAAATTTTGGTAAAACAAGGATGCTTAATAAGTGACACTATGTAAGTCTAGGATGATAAGTGTATTTTTAATATCATTTGTAAAAAAAAAAAAAAAGTTCCTATCAGCATATTTGCCCAATGTGGGTCATGTGTTTTATAGTTATGTTCAGTGCAAGGTAAGGGAGTACAGGCTAGATGAATGGACTGTAAGATGAATAGAAAGCTCAGGTTGGAGCACCGGGCTCAGAGGGCAGTAATCAATGGCTTGATGTCTTGTTGGCAGCTGGTATCAAGTGGAGTGCCCCAGGGGTTGGCCCTGGGGCCAGTATTGCAATTCATATGAAATGTCTTCATCAGTGACCTGGAAGATGACATAGAGTACACCCTCAGCAAGTCTGCAGATGACACCAAGCTGTGGGGAGTAGTAGATATGCTTGAGCGTAGAGCTAGGAATCATAGTGACCTAGAGAAATTGGAGTACTGGGCCAAAATAAATCATATGAGGTTCACCACAGACATAGGATGGAACAATCCCATGCACTAGTACAGGCTGGGGGCTGACTGGTTAGGCAGCAGCTCTGCAGAAAAGGACCTGGGGGTTACAGTGAACAATAAGCTGAATACGAGCCAAGAGCGTGCCCTTGTTGCAAAGAAGGCTAACGGCACACTGGGCTGCATCAGTAGGTGTTGCCAGCAGGGCGAGGGAAGTGATTATTCCCCTGCTTTCACCACTGGTGAGGCCACATTTGGAGTACTGTGTTCAGTTTTGGGCCTCCCACTACAGACAGGATGTGGACAAATTGGAGAGAGTCCAGTGGAGGGCAACAAAAATAGTGAGGGGGCTGGGGGACATGACTTCTAAGGAGAGGCTGAGGGAACTGGGCTTATTTGGTTTGGAGAAGAGAAGACTGAGATGCAGATTTAATAGCAGCCTTCAACTACCTGAAGGGAGGTTTGAAAGAGGACGGAGCTAGACTGTTCTCAGTGGTTGCAGATGCCAGAACAATGAGCAATGGTCTCAAGTTGCAGCAAAGGAAGTTTAGGATAGATATTAGGAAGATTTTTCTCACTAGGAAAGCAGTAACACACGGGAACAGGTAACCCAGAGAGATGGTGGAACTTCCATCCTTGGAGGTTTTTAAGACCCAGCTAGACAAAGCTTTGGCTGAGTTAATCTAGTTGGAAATGGCCCTGCTTTGAGATGACCTCCTGAGGTCCCTTTCAACCCTAATTTTCTATGATTCTATGAGTGTTGGCTGTATTTAATCAATTTCATAGTTCATAGGTGGCTTCCATTGCTGAGCACATGCTTTTTTGGCAGCAGTTTAATAATAGATATTGTATTTAGTGAGATTTCCTAGTATGTGATTATAAAATGAGGAGCTTTTTTCCCCATGCCAATTGGGGGGAAAAAATCTCATCTTGTACTCAAGTAAATAAAGTAGTTTAGTTTAACAAGTTGAGCCAGTATTGCAATTCATATGAAATGTAAGCTTTCAGTAATTTCAGCTTTGTGGCTAGGGAAGTTAAATCATTCTAAATTCTACTAGTATGTTACTGGAGATGCAATGTTTGATGGTGGATTTTATTTCTGTGAATTACATATATCTTGCAGTATATTTAAGTTACTAATATATACGTTAAATTAAACTGTTCTTTCAAGCCTTTCTGAAAGTGTGGTATCAGTTTGCTTGAAATCCTGTTCATGTTTATTTGGCTTTTATACACACCTGGTCAACTTCCAGTTTTGGGCAGCTTCAAGAACTGTACGAATCTGGCTCTTTTTCAAAAAAAATCAACCTTGCAAGTTTTGTGGGTTTCAGAATTTTTTTTTTTTAATTTCTATGTCAGTATGAAACAGTTGCATGAAACATTAGACTTGAAATTCTGTGATGAAAAATGTTAACTTCTAAGAAAGCTACAAGAGAAGATTCAGCCCAGAAGCCTGTAGGAGAAAGAATTTGGAGGAATAAGTGGTGAGTGGAAAACAGAGTACGGCTAGCAAATGGAATAAATTGTTACTGAAAAAAGAAAGGGATAGAGCTGTGAATTCTTGAAAGGGGAAGTGACGGCTTTCTGAAATCTAAAAACTAGTGTAAAGTGAGCAAAGGTTCTGATCGTATGGTTCTTCAGCTACTAACTAGCCTATTTATTTTATAGTCCTTCCAACATACTCCCACTCTTCTCTTAGATTTAAGCATGTATGTGAGATTGGGATTCCCAGCACCAAATCGCATTCTAGATTTATGAGTAAAATATGGTTTTAGATAGAGATGACTAGTTCATTTTTCTTTTTCAAAGTCTCATGGTGTTGATGTCCTGCTTATATATAACAGCGTAAAGATCAGAATGCTTGATCAGGAAAAAGGGATCTGGTTTTTATGCTCGTCTCATGTTTTAGCTTGAGGAAGTTAAAACACACGTCCTCTGTCTCTCTCTAAAGGCGTCTGTACTGAATAAAGCAATTTTGTGGACATACCCACACTATCTCTGAATGAGCGCGCTTGACTCCTCGAAAGTGCAGTATCTGCGCAGTCTAATTAGCATTGTTGGAAAAACAGGATCTACTACAATCCTGGGTTGAGCACTGCACTAACACAACTACTGCTCTCTGGTACCCAAGCCAGCTGATTCAAAGCTGGTTAGGGTATCTCTGTAAGGTACTGCCTATGTTGTGGGGACATACCCAAGGAATCTGGAAGTAGGAAGAACACCTTTCTAGACAGTGCCTCCAGGCAGAGGGAGAACCATTTGTGCTATGTGCTCAGTCTGGGGTTTACAAGGTTGAGAAGGGAGACAAATCCAGCTCTCTTCCCCTCACCACCGGTGTTTCCAGTACAGTATTTTCTGTTCTTGCTGCTATGATAGTGGCAAAACCTGATCTTGGAATACTCTTTTTTTCCAAAACCAGGTTTTGGAAGGCTGCCAAAATTTTCCTGAAGCAAGAGAAGGAAATGAGAATTTGTAATGCTTCATATTCTACCAAATCTGAAGGGAAACTCAGGGGACAAAATAAAAGACAGTTGTGTAGCCCAAAGTGATCTTCCACACTGAATATTAAAGGCCTACCATGAACAGTGGAAGTATGAGAGCTTTTCAAAGATCATAAGAATCCTTTATAATGGAAAGTGTTAGGCAGCTTGCATAGAGAGGTCACGACTATCTCTCACTACAATACAAAAATACACTGTAATTGCAGAGTACAGTATGTGTATAGATATAAATATTTTAATATGTGTGATTTCAGGATAGCTGCATTATTCCTGACTGGTGATAATATACCACCCTCATGTACTCACATACATGCCTCATGATACTGAAAAGATTATTAAAAGGTGTCTTAAAAAGGTATTTAAAATATTTGATTGAGACCACTATTATGGGTTTCTTTTTATTCCTCTGCCTGTAAAGCCAACTGCCTTTCGTTCTTTCAGTCCAATTGCATGGATCTCAGGGGAACTATAAACGCTTCTCAAAGCAATTTATAGTTTCCTATGCAAACTTATCACAATTTTAAAGTTCTGCTATCTCATTCTTGCTGGACTAAAAGTGAATTTGAGGCCCCCACAGAATTCCCTCACGCCCAGGTAGATCAGATACATTAAAAAACAGATAGACACACTTGCCAACATATTTCTTTGCCTGTGTGTGCACATGCTGCATGCATTTATTGTTCCAAGTCAGCACCTTCTCTGGGCCCGAAGCACAGCTGGTATTATCTGTGTCCAGCATCCAGCTGCAAACTCCTCAGGGCAGGGACTCTTGTCTGTGTGTGCAATTTGCAGTACCAAACAAATGGCAAGATTGAAAAAAAACTGACTTACTGGGAGAGTTACTTTTTTCAAGTGGCATTCCTTTTCCAGTAGTCCATAGATATATTTAGTAACGATCTGCAAAAATGAAACAGAATTTAAGGCACTTACACAAATTGCTCATTCATTCGTAAGTCTCAGAGAAGTAGGTTGATCAAAAAGTATTTCTTTCAAATATTTGTGCATATTTTGCTCATATAACTAATTACAAGACGTGAAGCTTCATGAAAAAGGTTCCTCCCTTCCTCTTAATATATGCAGCTTGCTTGTACAAAGCAATCCTAACTATACCTGTGACTCTACCACCTGCTGCTGTGTGAATAATTATGTGCCTCAAAACTAAGGATTATGACCAATTAATGTATACTCAGGGGTACGAAAAAGGCTCTCTTTTTTCAAAGAAATACTTTAAAAGCATTTCTTCCATGAGCAGGGCTCCTGAAACCCTCTCCCCTGCAGGTTCACTTCATGAGCTACACAGTCACCCTTGCCATTTCTATTCACTGAACAGGAGAGGGGCAGGTCAAAGGTGTTCTAAATAGGAAAAAAAACCTTGACTTTCCCCACCAAGCGGGGAGGGGGGGGCAGAGGAAGAGGGTTAAGCCTATAGTCCTCAAGTAGAAATAAAGCTGAAATTAAGACTTGAAGCAAAAAAAATTAGTGAAAAGACCCAGCAAAAATCAACCTAGCCACACGAAACATTGAGAGATCCTTCCTTGCTACTTCAAATTTAACAAAGCTTGTCAGGACTTAAAAGGTATGCAAAATATCTTGGGGAACTTTTTTTTACCCTTACATACTGAGAAAATTGATACATTAATTTTGGAGTTCAGCTGTAAGACAAATTCTCCATGCTTCACTCATACTGGATTACAAAAACAGTTATAAAGTAAGTGCTTGGACTTCTCTGGCTACAGAAGTAGAAACAATGGCAAATTAAAAAGGGGGCAAAAGTGCTCATTAAAAATCTCAAATGGGGGCCTACCACTTCATTTGAACCTGGGGAATTACATTTAAATTCCAGACTGAATACACAGTAGAAGACCTTTGGTACAAAATACCAGTCAAAGAAAGAATATTTGGGTGCAAATACACCTGGTGTTGCCTAATCCAATCCCTCAAGGCCTCAGTTAGAACCATATAAACCCCCAGCATATTAAGCAACACCAGAAATGAAGTTGTAACAAAAGCTCTGAGTGAAGGCATCTTAACAATGCACTATGAATTTAGCAAATAGGTGTGAAAGCATAAGCTTCCACTTTAATTTTACAAATTCAAAATTACCAAATAAAGTTTCAATGAATTTCAAGAGTCTTTACTATACATATGTGAGCAGCTGTACTATACAAACATTTAGAATATATCTGAATCAATTCAATGAACTGATGAAAGCAAATTAAAAAGCAAAAACAATGCTGAAAAGGACAAAAACCTTTACTAGGATTACATGAATTCTCTACTATTCTGTCCAAATACACTTACTGACAGAATTACATTCAAAAACCTTTAAGGCTTTAAAGAAAATCAGTCTTACTAAACATTAGTATCTACAGGGAAACTGCATTTGGAGAGGGAACTTAGCTGTAAGCAATGAGTTGATTTAAGACATGTTTATCCCCTAAGCAGTATGTTAGGAACATGCATACAGTGTAATTTTACCTCCAGGGCCAAACTGTTTATGGCTCACTGAAATCAACTTCAGTATTATGCCAACAGTAAAGCAGTTAAGTTCCTGCAGTCTCAGATGCTGATGGTGTACAGACGTTTAAATTAGTATAATGATAATACGGCCTCAAACACAGGGATTTTATTTTTCATGCTAAATCTCGGCATGTATCGACCTCCAATGGCTAGAAGAACAAACTAATGTATCAAATATACTAAAAGGACATTTAGGGGGAAAAACATATTTGCTGTGAAGGAAATATATATGAGATACTATTGATAAAAAAATACCTTTTTTTCTTTATTATTAGTTTTCTTTTCCATTCTTCTTCCCCCACCCTCTACCTTTTTATTTTTCATTTTGATCTCATCTATTTAGAAGATAAACTCCTTACAGTTTGTATATATTTCTCCAGAGTCTAGCACACAATGGGACTCCAAACCCGATTGGCCCTGTAGCTATTACTCTAATAAAATTAATGAAAAAAAATCAGGAGTGCTGACACAGTCCAACTGCATAAACTGTTATAAACAATGAATGTAGTCTATATATTTAGCTAGGATGTCATTAAATACAGCAAGGACAGACATTATCCTAGCAGATGAAGAGCACCAAAATACATTAAGAATCTGGCCATGCCCTCTACTCCAGAGGCTAAAATAGGTGGAATGAAATATGAAATATTCAATTACAATGTTATGCAACCCCATTTTTTTTTATTTAGATGGAACAGTATAATTGCTGTAATTGCTGCTATTTATACATATCTCAGAGGGCCAGCACAAACATATCCCAATTTAGAACATGGCTGAATGAATATATAACATAGCTTATCTAACACTACAATTAGAAACTTCTGCATTTAATGACTTCTGATATTACTGATGATACACAATTGTCCAAATAAAAAGATAGTTTTTAAATTTTACCTTTTTGTCTTTTCTTTAAGGTATATAGAAAAATGTCTGTGCTTAATTCATAGATTCATAGATTGTTAGGGGCTGGAAGGGACCTTGCAAGATCATTGGGTCAACCCCCTGTACTAGGCAGGAAAGACAACTGGGGTCAAGTGACCCCAGCAAGGTGATCGTCCAGTCTCCTCTTGAAGATTTCTAGGGTAGGTGATTGCACTACCACTGGAGGGAGCCTGTTCCACAATCTGGACACTCTAGCTGCGAAGAAGTTTTTCCTAGTGTTAAGCCTGAAATGGTCTTCCAGGAGTCTGTGGTCATTACTCCTGGTTTTTCGCAAGGGTGCCATGGTTAACAGTTGTTAGCCAAGCCCCTGACATATTCCCCTGATGTAGCAGTAAGCTGCTACCAAGTCCTTTCTCAGCCTTCTCTTTCTTAGGCTGAAAAATCCCAGGTCCCTCAGCCTTTCCTCATATGGCTTGTTGTGCAAGTCTCTGATTATACAGGTGGCTCTTTTCTGGATTTTCTCAAACTTTACCATGTCTTTGTTGAAGTGTGGCACCCAGAACCAGATGCAGTATTCCAGCTGTGGTCTTACCAATGCTGAGTAAAGTGGAAGAATCACTTCCTTGGTTTTGCTTGAAATGCACCGATTGATGCATGCCAGAGTATTATTTGCCCTGCTGGCTACAGCGTTGCATTGATGGCTCATATTCACTGTGGTCTATTATTACCCCTAGGTCCCTTTCAGTTGTGGTGCTAGTCAGTTTGGTGCTGCCAAGCTTGTAGGTATGTTGGGGATTGTTATTCCCCAGGTGAAGCACTTAACGTTTCTCGACACTGAACTTCATCTGGTTCTGATCCATCCAACTTACTAGCCTGTCTAGGTCCACCTATATCTCCAGCCTATCTTCAAGCGTGACCATGCTCCCCCATAACTTGGTGTTGTCCAATAACTTGGCCACTGAGCTCTTCACTCCCACATCCACATCATTGATAAAGATGTTAAAAAGAACTGGTCCAAGCACCAATCCCCGGCCACTTCTCGCCAGGACGACACAGATCCATTCATTAGAACTCTCTGGGTCCTACCCCACAGCCAGCTTCCTACCCACCTGTCATGCAGTTAAGTACACAATCCTCCAATTTTCCCATGAGATCATCATGAGATACCAGATCAACGGCTTTTTATAAGTCAAGGTATACAATGTTGACCTCCTCTCTCTTATCCAGGTGGTGAGTTGTAGAAGGAGATGAAATTGGTAAGACAAGACCTGCCTGCGACAAAGCCACACTGGCTGTCATTCAGAATCCTACCTTCTGCAAGCTTATCACAGATAGATTCCTTAATGAAATTTTCCAGGATTTTCCCTGTCATAGAAGTTAGGCTAATTGGCCTATAGTTACCCAGGTCCTCTCTCCTTCCCTTCTTGAATATAGTCACAACACTGACCCTCTCCCAGTCCTCAGGGACCTCTCCAGAGCACCACAAGTTTTGGAAGAGTTTCACCAGGGGTTCTGCAATGACTTTCACCAGCTCTTTCAGCACTCTCAGATGAAATTCATCTGATCCTGCTGACTTATATATAATTTTTTTTAACTGATCACACACAAGTTCATTGTCAATAGCAGGAAAGCTGTCATTCCCACCATGCCCATTCTGTGCCCTATCTTCTGGCATGATTTTACCCTTGGCCCAGTGAAATACGAAAGCAAAGTAGTCATTCAGGAGTTCAGTTTTCTCCTGAGCGTCAGTAACCAGCTGTCCTGAGTTGTTGAGCAATGGCCCTACACTCCCATTTGTTTTCCTCTTGTTCCCTATGAACCTAAAGAGGAACTTCTTGTTGTCCTTGATTTCTGTTGCTAATTTTAGTTCAGTTGCTGCCTTAGCCTTTCTAATCTCCCTACAAGTGTGGGCCATTTTTGTATAGTCCTTCTTGGGGACTGTCCCAAGCTTCCATTGTTTGTACACCTCTTTCTTCTTTAAGAGGACCATGATTTCCCTGTTTAGCCAAGAGGGCTTCCCAGCCATTTTGCTACCTTTCCTCTGCATGGGAATGGACTTCCTTTGTGCTTCAAGGATCATGTCCTTAAGGAATGACCACTCTTAATGCATTCCTTTTGCCTTCAGTCCCTGGCCCTGCAGCACTTCCCCTGCTATTGTTCTGAGCTTGCTGAAATTTGTATTTTTGAAGTCCAAAACTTCAATCCTGCTATATAATTTGCCTGCCTTGCAACTGACAGTGAACAGACAGTAATCATAGCTATGTAAATAATCTCAGATAGTCATAAGGCACAACCTCTTGGTTCCAGACTCTCCAGAAGACAAGACACCAAAAATCTAACTTAATAAATCCGGGACCTAGTTAAATAATTTGGTAGTGGCAATCCCTCAATTTGAAGAGATTCTTTACCATGGCTCACAGATGGGTCTCAAGGTGACTTAAAAGCCCAATTCTTGAGCCAAAAGGCCCACCTGCAGATGTTACAGGTCTTTCACA